TTCGAGGCCTGCTGGGGGGCCCAGCACAGTGACGCCACGGGCGGATTCAAAATTAGACCTCGCCATCCCTGGGGGGCTGCGATCTGTGAAACGGTCGCCACTTTCGAGGCCTGCTGGGGGGCCCAGCACAGTGACGCCACGGGCGGATTCAAATAGACCTCGCCATCCCTGGGGGGCTGCGATCTGTGAAACTGCGCCACTTTCGAGGCCTGCTGGGGGGCCCAGCACAGTGACGCCACGGACAGATTCAAATGAGACCTCGCCATCCCTGGAGGCTGCGATCTGTGAAACTGTCGCCACTTTCGAGGCCTGCTGGGGGGCCCAGCACAGTGACGCCACGCGCGGACCCAAATTAGACCTCGCCATCCCTGCGGGGCTGCGATCTGTGAAACTGTCGCCACTTTCGAGGCCTGCTGTGATCCCCGTTTTCGAAGTGGCTAGGAGTGCTCAGGAATTGTAACTCATCAGCTTTGTCAAGCCCTTTTCCTGTAGCCCGTGTCCTGCGAGTCTCCCGAATTCCGTCTGCAGACATATGTAACCCTCGCTCCGTCATCGCCCCCTTATAAAGTATCCTAAACTATTTGCGCCCCGCTTTTGCGCAGGGGTTGGGTACGTCGCCAGGGTAATTGTTGTGGGAGGGCGGTGCAGAGCAAAACGAGCAGCAAACAACGCGAAAACCAACGTTTGGGTCCAGCCCTGCTGTTTTATACTCGGACTGTGCCAGCGTTGTTTCGGATTGTTCCCGCGGTGCCGCTGACCGTGCTTCTGAGAAGCGGGCCTGTGCGGGCCAAGTCTGCCGCTGTTTCTTGGGAGCCTCGGGACATACCAGGCTTGTCGTCGAGGCCGCAGCTCACAAGAAGCTCGACGAGGTCGGGATCGAAGGATTGCAAAAAACCGAAGGATTGCAAAAAACCTTGGTCGAAGGATTGCAAAAAACCCAGGGTTTTTTGCAATCCTTGGTTTTTTGCAATCCGAAGGATTGCAATCCTAGGTTTTTTGCAGTCCTTGGTTTTTTTGCAATCCTTCGACCAAAAATGCTTTTGCAGGCAAGGCAAAGTTTGCGGCAGCTCTCGCGGCGACGCCGGAGGCCAGGGTGCACCCCCAGCCTGAGCCCAGCGTGCAGGGCCGCATCGGCTTACGGATCAGCACCAGCAAGCGTGTGCTGAAGGGTGGCCTCGGAGCTCCTCCCGCTTTTCGGGCGAAGAGAACTATGCACATGCACCGATCCTGGCAAGGCCCATCCTTGACCCAGGATCGGTGCATATGCCTTCCTGGCCAAGGTAGGAGGGCGTATGCACCGATCTTGGGCTCAGGATGGGCCTGGCCAGAATCGGTGCATGTGCATAGTTTTCTTTCCTCTAGCTTTGGCCCCAGCGTGGCCTCTCACAGGTCGAACGTGCCGAGCTCCCCGCCGAAGGCCAGGTCTCTGTCGGAGGCTCACGACGGGGCCTGGGTGGGGTCTCGGTGGCAATGCTCTCCTGTTCGCGAGGGAAGCGGGGCGAACGTCGTCCCCCCCCGGGCCGCTGCTCCAAGCCCCCTCTAGAGGCCGAGTTGCTCGCTCGAGCGGAACACCGCTGTGCGATGCGCCGCGGCTCCCGCCGGTCCACGAGCCAGGCTGTCGTCGTCGTCGTCGTCGTTCTTGTCGTCATCGTCATCAGTCGTCGTCGTCATCCGTCGTCGTCGCCGTCGTGTTCGTATTCGGCGTCGTGTTCGTATTCAGCGTCGTCGTCGTCGTCGTCGTCGTCGGTCGTCGTCTTTCGTCGTCGTCGCGTCGGTGGCGCTTGCTGCGGCACGGTGCATGGGGGGTCTGTCATCGTCGTCGCGTCGGTGGGGTCCTTCAGCCAGGCCGCGGCACGGTCCAGCGGCTGGTGTTCAAAGAAGAAGGGGAACACATCGTGGAATCGTGAGATTCGAGTACGCCGAAACTCGGGTTGAGACCGCCCTGTGTTTCGACGGCCCAGTTCTCGTGGGATGTCTGCAGCGGGAGCTCGCGTCACACTTCGGAGGGGGTCTCGTCATTTTCTTGACGGCCCCTTCAGGTCAACCCGAGTTCCTCGAACCCGAGTCTTACGTCCCCCGGGAATCATTGCACAGGCATCCATTGCCGGAGGCCCGCGCGGACATCTCAGATCAGCGCCAGCGCGCCGCCTTTGGCGAGTGCCGCGCCCCAGGCGAGGAGGGCCGCCAAATGTCTACGTAGACTGCGGTAGCCATTGTCTGCTATCAGAACCCTCTCCCGCCACAGGCTCCCCAAGTGTCCACGTAAACGGCACCAGCATTCCGCTGCAGCCCTGTGCACTATGAGGGCGTGCGCGCAAGGGTCCTGCGAGCACATCGTGGTTTTCCCTCCGTCTGTTGTTTCCTTCAGTGCCACGATGACGCCGTATCTGCCGAGCTAGCGGGGGGCCCTGCAAAGGCACGTAACCCACTCAGTTTGCGCTCGCCTGTCCCTTGCTTGCGCGGGGACGCTGCCCGACGAGACCTCAACACTTTCATGCACAGGGCGGCTTTCAGCTGAGTCTTCAGGCTTGACGTACTCATGTACCGCCATACCGCCTCGAGCCTTGGACACAGAGCCGGCCCCTGGAAGGTGATCCATCCAGGAGTGGCCTCTAGCTTCCGAAGTTCGCCCGGCACCAACATGGAGACCCCCACCTTGACGTCCAGCGCGCCCTTTGGAGCCGTTAGGACAGGTCGACCAAATGCCGCCCCACTCCAGCCGAGTGCTGTCTGAGCATGTGTCGCTGCCATCTCTCAAGGGCGGCACGCTTCACATATTACCTCTTTGGGCTGCTGAGCTCCGAGAACTCAACGCGGATCTTGATGACATTTCGTTGCTCCTTCACTGCGGCCTTGCCGCAGCACGTTCCTGGCGGCTGTCGTCGTCGTCGTGCTCGTCGGCACTCGGTCGTCGGCCGTCTGTCGTCAGTCGTCGGTCATCTTCAGTCGCTTGTCGTTGGTCTCCTCCTTCTCTCGCCGTGAAGGCAGCAAGACAGAAGGTTGCTCTGCAATTGTCAAGACCCGGGGACCTTCACCGGGCCCACGGGACCGTCCAAAAACGCGTCGGGATGAAAATTCGGCCCCCGTCATCGAATGGCCTTCGGTCCATGCCGCCACCGTACCTGGGTTGTGGGTCAGAGTCTTCAGAGATCCTTCTTGGGATCTCTTCGGGGCGTTCTCGGGTCTCGGGGGACTCCGGCGGGCAGTTCTGGAGCTCATCGGGAGCCTCGAGGGGGCCTATTGGTAGCCTCTTGGAGGCCTCTTGGGGGCCTCCTGGGGGGCTTCCTGGGGGCCTCTTGGGGGCCTCTTGGGGGCCTCGTGGGGGCCTCGTGGGAGCCTCTTGGGAGTCGTGTGGTGCCTTTGGGGGGCCTCCGGGGGCCGAGGGCTCGACGTTGTCCGTCCTGGCCCCCCGTCCGGGTGGGACCCCTCTCGGAGTCGTCTTGGGCCCCTCGTGGGCCGTCTTGGAGATGTCTTGGGCCGCCTTGGGGCCCTCTTGGGCCGTTCTAGGGCCCTCGTGGAGGCCTCTTGGGAGGCTCTTTGAGGCCGGCGAGGCGGGAACACCAAAATCATTCAACCACATAGTCACTGATTTTTGCTTCCTGGGGCCCTCTTGGGAGCGCTCTCTGAAGCCTCTTGGGGCGTCTTCGAAGCCTCTGGGGCCGTCTGGAGGCCATCGTTGGCGTCTTGGAGCGATCTTTCGGCGATTCTGTACCTCCTGGCCTCCCGAGGCTTTCTGGGCCCGTTTTGCAGCCTTCCTGAGCGAGGGGACCGTCTCGGAGGCCCACGCGGCACACCCCAAAAAGCGCCCGGGACCGCCCAGGAAATTGTGGGCCTGGGCCCTTGCGAGCCTCACAATCCCTCCACCTCTTAGGGCTGCATCAGCCTTGGGGCCCTGGGGCACTCCACTTCGTGCCAGAGGCACGGCGGCGGATGCAATTGGGCCGTGTTTGGGCCATCTTGGGCCCTTTTGGGGCCCTTTTGGGCTTCTTGGGGGCCGCTTGGGCCCGTCTTGAGGCGAGCTTGGCAGTATGGGCCGTCTTGCAGAATGTTCAGACCAAATGGTCGGATAGAGTAAAGGTTTTCCTTCGGGATTGGGGCTGGTTTTGCCTCTTCGGGACGTCTTGGAGATCTCCTCGGGGCCCTCCTCTTGCGCAATGTGGTGGCCATCTCGGGCTGTCTTGGAATCCTCTTAGTCTTGGGCTGTCACCAGGCCGCCCTTGACCGTCTTGGACGCGTCTCGGGAGCCTCTTGGGCCGTCGGGGCGCTGCGATTTCGGCCACCCAAGCCGCCCGGGGCCCCAGCGAAAAGTCCTTCAGGTGGGGCCGGCTGGCGTGGGGGATTTTTGGGGGGATTGGTAATGTCTAGATGAGGTAACATTGCAACAACGCCAGACGTGCTTCGCAGTCTGGGCGTGAGTCCTCAAGCCCTCGCCGGCCCTCCCTGGCCCCTTGCCCACCGTGCCCTCCCCTGGCCCTCCCCCTCCCTCCCTGGCCCCCCCGGACAGCGCAGGGAAACCAGGATTCCAGAGCACAACCATTGAGCGGGAACCGAACAGGAAGCCTCGAGGGCTTGTTCCTCTCGGTTGTTCGGGAAGCTGTTCGGCACACAAGTTCGCGGGTTTGCCGCATCGTGGGCCCTCCCTCGCCCCTCCCTCGCCCCTTCCCCGCCCCCTGCCCGAGCGCGCCCGGAGCGCCGAGCCTCGCGTGGCGGCGTGGCGCGACGACGGCGGACGACGACGGACGACGACGACGACGACGACGACGACGACGACGACGACGACGACGACGACGACGACGACGACGGACGACGACGAGGGCGACGGACGACGGACGACGGACGACGGACGACGGATGACGGACGACCGACGACCGACGACCGACGCGGACGACGGACGACCGACGACCGACGACCGACGACCGCCGACACCACGACAACGACCACGACGACGACGACGACGACGACGAGGAAGACCGATGACGACCGACGACGCCCCGACCCAGTGGCGTGGCGCCGGCGGACGGGAGCCCCGCCTCGGCGGCGGCGCGCCTGCAGACCAGCGCGGCCTCGCGCAGGACCGTGGGCGCCGTCCCCTTGTCGTTCGGTATCGCTCGAACGATCGCACTTTTATCCGGCGACGACCGTCGAGGCGCATCGAGAACTCGACAATTCGCGCGAAATCGGAGAAGAGTCGGCGAGCACCATTGAAAAGATGCACGAAATCGAAGCACGCACGGGAATTGACGTCCCAGAGATGGCGAGCTCGGGCGCGAGCCTCGGACGGATCGATCCGGTGGTTCCCTGAGATCCTGGCGTCTTGATTTGCTCGAGCCGCGCGGTTTCGTCAGGTGTTGGGCCCTGGGGCCTTCACAGATCGGTCCGGCTCGAAACATGGCGCAGAAAGATGGGGTCCACGGTTTTGGCCGAAGTTTGTGGCAAGATCTATTTTTTTTTTTTGCGCCGTCAGATCTCAGGGTTGGTGCAGCGCCAAGCTCCCCAAGTGCGGTCCGCGCAGATGTGGTCGGCGCATCGCCGCCGCATCGCCGATGCTTCGGCGATGCGGCGGCGATGTGGGGCCCGACTGTCTCCACACCGACGTCGCCGATGCGTCTCCAGGCGGCTCCAGGCCTCCCAAGAGACAGTTGTTTTGTTACCCCCTGGCGATAAAAACAAGGGCGTCACCTGGAAAGGAAGGCCTCCCAAGAGACAGTTGTTTTGTTACCCCCTGGCGATATAGAAAGGGTGTCACCTGGAAAGGCAAAGGGGGGGGGCGGGGAGGGGCCCGCCACGTCACGGTTCGCGGAGGGTCCAGGACCTTATTTTGCCAGGGCCCGGCTCCTCGTGCCAAGAGGAGGTGGGAGGAGGAGGAGGAGGAGGAGGAGGAGGAGGAGGAGGAGGAGGAGGAGGAGGCTCAGAGGACTACACCACCATGGAGGCCCCCCTTGGCGGTGAGCGTGCCTACCCCTCGGCAAAAGGGCTGGGGGGTGACGGCGGCCGCCGAGGGGGGAAGAGACGATGCACCCCCTTTAACAGGTGGCCCGTCGGTGCGTTTGGCCAAGGTCCTTGGAGGTCTTCGACTCCTCCCCCCCTCTTCCAGGGCCCTGGAGGCATCCTCTTCTCTTCCCCTCTGGGCCTGGCCTCGGAGGAGGAGGAGGAGGAGAAGACGGAGGAGGAGGAGCAAGGGGAGGAGGAGGAGGGAGGAGGGAGGAGGAGGAGGAGGAGGAGGAGCAAGGAGGAGGAGGAGGAGGAGGAGAAAGAAGAAGAGGGGGACGAGAAGAAGAAGAAGAGAAGAGGAGGAGGAGGAGGAGGAGGAGCAGGAGGAGGAGGAGGAGGAGGAGAGGAGGAGGAGGAGGGAGGAGGAGGAGGAGGAGGAGGAGAGGAGAGGAGGAGGAGGGAGGAGGAGGAGGAGGAGGAAGGAGGAGGAGGAGGAAGGAGGAGAAGGAGGAGGATTTTGATGTGGACATGCCGCTCCTCGGTGCCTTCGTCCGCCCCAGCGTTGCCGCGGCCCTTGGCTCGGCCCCTCGCTCATCCGCTGGCGCCTGTCCCTGAGGCAGCTGGGCCCAGACGCCGGCCCACGTCCACCAAAAAATCCTCCTCCTTCGCCTCCTCCTCATCCTCCGCCTCCTCCTCCTGCTCCTCCTCCTTCTCCTCCCTCCTCCTTCCTCCTCCTCCTCCACCTTCCTCCTCCTCCTCCTCCTCCTTCCTCCTCCTCCTCCTCCTTTTGGCTCGCCGCCACGGCTGGATCTTTTAGAACAAATGCGTCAGGATGGACCCTGGGAGGGGTCCCAGGAGCGATTTTGAGCGGTTTTGGGCTGGGCGGGAGCTCTCCTCCGAGAGGAGGGGAGGGGGGGAGGACGAGGAGGATGCCTCAGGCGTCCTCGTCGGCGTCGTCGTCGCCGTCGCCGTCGTCGTCGTCGTCCGTCGTCGTCATCGTCGTCGTCGTCGTCGTCGTCGTCCGTCGTCGTCGTCGTCGTCGTCGTCGTCGCGGTCGTCGTCGTCGTCGTCGTCGTCCCGGCCTCCTGCTGGACGCATGATGACGCAGCCCGCAAGCTCCTGGGCTGCGCAAGCTTCTGGATCGCGGCCCATCCGCGGCTGGTTTGGTGCCAAAGTGCCGTTTGTATTAGTTCGCGTTATGGTATTGGTTATCGTTTTGCTGGTCACATTGGTGCTGCTGTTGACGCTGATAGTGCTGCGCATGGTACTGCTGATTTTCATCCTGCTGGTGACAGTGGTGCTGCTTCCAGCGATGCTCCTTACAGTGGTAGTCCTCGCTGCACTTTGCGCTGGTGCGCGTAGTGCTGTTGTCTCCCGCGGGTTGGTCGCAGTGGTGGTGTTGATGGCGCCGGTAGTGCTACGTGTTATGCTGCATCTTCCCTTTTTGCTGGTCACACTGGTGCTGCTTCTTCGCGGAAGACTGCTGTCTCTGGTGATGTTCGTCACACTGGTTTTGTTCGTTGCTCTTTGGCTGGTGAACTTAGTGTTTGTTTCCCGCCGTGCTGGTCACAGTGGTGCTGCTGGTGGCGGTTGTAGTGCTGGGCGCAGTGCTGTTGCTTCCCGTCCTGCTGGTCACACTGGCGCTGTTGGTGGCATTTGTGCTGCTGCGCTTGGTGCAGCTGGTTCCCGTGGTGCTGGTCACAGTGGTACTGCTTGTTACGCTTGTGCTGGTGGTTCCCGTGGTGCTGGTCACACTGTTGTTGCTGGTTTCTCTCGTGTTGGGGCGCGTTGTTCTGCTGTTTCCTGTCGCGCTGGTGGTGCTTTCGGCGCGTGCTGCGCGTGGCGCTGCTGCTTTCCGTCGTGTTCGTCACACCGCTACAAATTGTGGCGCTGGTGTTGCTGTGCGTGGGGAAGCTGCTTGCTGTCGCTGTGGTTACAGAGGTGCCACCAGTGGCGCTAGGGTTGGTCGCACTATTGCAGTGCTGCTGGTGGCGCTCGCGCTGCTGTTGGTGGTGCTGCTGGTTCCTGGCGGGCTGGTCGCACTGGTGGTGCTGCTAGTCTTTCTCGTGCGGCTGACAGAGGCACTGCTGCTGGCGGGGAGCGGCCTTATAGCATTTTTCTTTCAGCCTAGTCTGTTTTATTTCGAGCTCAATTGCTTTACCAACTCAAGAACATGTTTTCCAGGCCCCACGGCGTGGGACATCCTCTAAAGATCCTTGGCGGCGGAATCTTCGGTTCTGGGTTGGTTGGTTGGTTGGTTGGTTGGTTGGTTGGTTGGTTGGTTGGTTGGTTGGTTGTTTTTTGTGTCCCGGGGTGGCTGGTTGGTTGGTTGGTTGGTTGGTTGGTTGGTTGGGCGGGGGTTGGTTGGTGGGTTGATTGGTGGATTGGTTGTTAATTGCTTTGGCGGTTTGTTGGTTGGTTGGCTGGTTGACTGGCTGCTCGTCTGACTGGTTTCTGGGTCATTTTTTTTCCGAGGCGACGGGGTTGGTTCTTTGGTTGGCTGGCTGGGTGGTTGGTTGGGTGGTCGGTTCGTTGGTTTGCCAGGTGGTTGGTTGGTGGTTGATCGGTAGGGTGATTGGTTGGGTGGCCGGGTGGTTGGTTGCCCGCTTGACCACGTGGTTGGCCGGTTCTCTCCTCCCTCCTCGCTCCCCCCCCCCCGTCCTCCCTTCTGCTCCCTCCCTTTCCTCCTCCTCCTTTTCCTCCCCCTCGCCCGCAATTTGTTGCAATGCAATATATTGCAGCTGCAATGCAAATGCAACGCAGTGCAAAGCAAAGCAATGCAACCCAACGCAAGGCAACGCAACGCAGTGCAATGCAATGCAATGCAATGCAACGCTACGCAGTGCAATACAATGCAACGCAACGCAATGCAATGCACTGCAATGCAATGCGCTGAAACGCAATGTGTGCCTCGTCACGTGGCAGCGTCGCGGGGCCGAAAAACATACTTTCCGCTCCACTCGCCACGCAGCAACGCTTTGGCTGGCGACACCATTGTATTCCGCTATACTCGTCACGTCGCAGCGCCGCGGGGGCTGAGAAAAATAGATGTCACTCAATTCGCCACGTGGCACCGCCCGGGGGGACGAAACAAAACATATTATTCCACAACATACGGCATGTGGCAATGCCGCTTGGGGCCGAACAAATACCCACTCCGCTTGCTACGTGGCAACCTGGAGGCGCGAAGAAACAGTATTCCATCCACTCTACTTATCACGTGGCAGCGCCACGTGGGCCAGAAAAAGACAAACAATGCCACTCCACTCGTCACGTGGCAACGTTGCGAGGGCCGACAAAAAGTAGTATGTAGCTCAGCTCACCACGTGGCAACACCTGTAGGCGCGAAGAAATCTTATTCCATTCTAGTCGTCACGTGGCAGCGCCGCGGGAGCCCAAACAAACATTCTGCGACGAGGACGGCGACAAGAACGACGACGACGATGATGACGATGACGATGACGAGGGCCAGGGAGGCGAACAACAATTCTATCATATCCTCCTCCTCCTCGTCCTTCTCCCTCCCCCTTTCCTCCTCCCTCCGCCATCCTCCCTCGTCCCTTCTTCCTCGCCCATCCTTACTCCTCCCCATCCCCTCCTACCCCCTCCTCCCTCCTCATTCCTCTTTCGTCCTCCTTTCCTTTCTACTTTCCTGCCTTCTCCTCCCTCTTGTCCTCCCCCTCGCCCGCAATTTTCTGCAATGCAGATACTGCACATGCAATGCAAGTGCAACGCCGCAGTGCAACGCATGCATCGCAACAGGATCGTTGGTTGACGGTTGGTTGGTTTGTTGGTGGCTGGTCGGTAGGCAGGTAGGTTGGTTGGTTGGTTGGTTGGGCGGCTGCCATGTGGCAACGCCACTCTACTCGTTGCGTGGCAGCGCCGCGGGGGCTGGAAAACAACATGCTATTCCACTCTTCGCCACGTGGCACCGCCTGGCGGGGACCTGGCAGTGTACCATTCCACGGATCGTCTCGTGACAACGCCGCGGGGGGCAACAGAACATACTAAGCCACTCCACGCGCCACATGCCGACGCCTGGGGGAGCGAGGAAACACTATTCTATTCACTCTACTCGTCACATGGCAGCGCCACGGGGGTCGGAGAACAACAACATTCCACTCCATTCGTCGGGTGGCAA